TGATCTCACAATCAGAGATATACCGAAATTTAACGCGCCATTCGGTTTCGGCCTTGAAAGACCAAGATCCACGTGCCACGTTCGGTTGTATAGTAACGAATTCACGTCTTTTATATTTTCTAACATTTCATTCTCTTTTCTTTTCACGGATCGATTATACGCACTTCCGTAAAAACACTTGTGTCATTCTTATATTCTTTTTACTGTTTTGCCACAAAATGCATATGTTAAGTATGTATTAGTAGTATTTTTTGTCCTTTTCCTTTTCCTTTTCCTTTTCCTTTTCCTTTTCCTTTTCCTTCTCCTTCTCCTTTTCTTCTGTTCATGAGTAAGTAATAATCCATTTAGGTTACCTATGAATCATTGATGATATTATATGTTAACATATTACATATTAACGTTTTATACGACGACAACACCTGAAAATAAAATGAGAATGAAATGTCAAAAGGTTATGTAAACGTTTATCATTATTTTATTTTTATTTTTAGGGGATCATAAACGTCCCAATAGAAATACAACAAAATGGCGACTCGAAAGGATCGAGAAAGGACGATTTCGAGATCTCTTTGTCAGCAAGTAAGTTAATATTGAAAATATCTAAATGCTGATAAATATTTTTCTCCTGATATCAAGTTTGATATCTTGTCTGGTAAAAAATTAGTTTATCATGAACCTGCTATTGTAAATTGTCATTAAATATACACACATTTATATTTTTTCTCTATTTTGACTAATGCCAAATGAAACGAAGAAGTTCGGAATTCCGATAAAACTTTGTTTTTGTCGAGTTAAAAGCTATACAAGGCTAATACTCTCTCGAATAGCCAATAAATACTTAAACTTGTTTACCTTCTCACTTTTGCATTACGTTTACTTCGTGCTCTATTCTATGTTTAATATTGCTTCTTTTTTTTTTTTTTTTATCTCGATACTACGTCGCATGTTGTAAGATTAAACTGATACGTTTAAAACGTTCAACGTTCAACGTTCTTCCTATATCGATAAATAAGTACATAAAAAGTACAAGCTATATAAAATGTTAAATAAAGTGTTATCCAAAATTGAATTCAAACGGAAAAGAATTCATGAAAACTTCATTGTGAAGAAGTTATGTGTGTACACATATGTCAAATTGTATGCAAGCATATACTTATTTATCAAGAAATTAATAGATTTGATGATTTTTCCTATTTGTAAAAAGGATTGATTATAAAGAAAGAGTTATTAAAAAGAAAGCAGCTCGCACATGGTGTTATTTCTTCAGGTACCTACTACCCACTGTGTATAGAGTGGGTCTTTACGTATAGCTCCTTAGCTATCCTTAGCTTTTTTATCGAGATCCTTCTCCCAAAAAAAAATTCATCTCATCAATTTGATATATTTGTCGAATACTTGTAAACCTTAGGAATCAATGTGAGAAGATAAGAAATTCTGATGAAATGCTAAAAGTTTGGTTTCGTTATATGTCGGCAACGTGACAACGTTGAATTTGCGCAGCTTGCTGTTTTAACGTTAACGACTCTCGTTACAATCTGCTGATTGACCGACTCTGTCGACCTCGTAGAGTTGCCTTTATCGTGGCTTACTTTTGCTTCAGACCATGATAAACTTCCAAAATATAAGATTATACATAAATACATATGTATTTAAAATACAAGTTAACTTTGCAAACATTCAATTTTGCGATCCCTTTTCATGATCGTTATCGAATATCATTTTAAACGATTTCTTCCGATATTTCTTATTTATTTTTCTCTATGATAAACTAAAAAAGGCTTATAAATATAAACTGAAAGATACTTTGGGCCTATATCTCGGTTGACGCGACTCCTCCTCCTCCTCCTCCTCCTCCTGCTATCGTACATGGGAAACCGGTTCGAAATCGTTATTAGGGACATCTCGTGTCAGTGACGATGTCCTTTCAATTTTCTATTTGAACAACAAATCTGACATTATTTTTTATTACAAATATTATTTTATGATTTTTACTTTTCGTTACGTTTCGTTACGTGCTTTGGATTCATTTCGATTCAATTCAGTAGAAAAGAAAAAACGTTAAGAGATAAATAAAATGAGTATTCAATTTTCTTATCGATTGGTAACACTTAGCAAGTCTTATGTTGATGATATAATTATTCTTGCGAGATCGTAGATCGTTTCGCATCGACCTATGATGAATGACCAACAATAAATATACATACATATATATATATACATGCATAAATATGTACTACATGCACATCGTTCGAATTCATTTACGTGCGATAGATAAATAGGTTAATGGATGAATTATTTTTCTCCATTTATACTACATTATTATGTATTACAATTAGTATAACATAACAAAGTAACAACGACAACAAATTTTTACTTATAAATCATATAGATGAATTTTTAAATATCCTCTACACCAAATTCCATAAACGTAATATTACGTAATGGTATACATAAAATAATATTCCGTCGAATTTATATATACTGGATTATACACAGTAAAGGAAAATATTTATGGTCAATATCACGAGACTATAAATGCGAATTCTGGTATAAACACGAGCACGATTGTGGATTTATCTTTACAAATAAATTAATAAGATAAAACAGATAAAAGAATCAATAATAGAAATAATACGCGTAATAGAAATAATTATTTTTACGCATATTATGTATAATAGGCCTATTATGTATGTATGTATGTTTGAAATATGACTTTGCTTGTTAAGAAGACTACTTGAGTGTAAAGGCAAATATAAAAAAGAAAAAAAAAAAAAGAAAAGAAATATTGTTAATTATATAGCTCTAATTTCCGTCATTTCCGTAAATAATCTTATGCCGTGCATTAACGCGTTTATATGTCCATATAATCTATTGCATAATATAAAATGATCAGGGGTATAAGGATGGATTCAACGACGTTGACCGCACCGACGTTGACGCATCAAGACAATTGCTTTCGGACAACGAACGAATCTATACGACGTTGTTTGTGTATCTACATCGAGACTACCAATAATAATAATAATAATAATAATAATAATAATAATAATAATACAACGACGACGACGACGACGACGAGAAAAAGGAGGAATGTATAGGGATGTAGAATAAAAATCTCTCTTGGTGTGTTGTTATTCACACGGTGGTAACAGCACGAGTAGTACAAACTAAATATACATGTATATAGAGAAGTGTATATGTAATAATCCAAGACGTAGGTGGTGGGGTGTTGCGTGTTTTTCTTCGTTTCCAACACTCCATGTCCACGTTCCTCCTCCTGTATACAAAGTTGAACTATTCGTTTGACTCTTTTGCCTTACCTTTTCCTTTCCCACCTAAACGCGTTTACTTACATACATATTTATAAACGAGTATATTGTATACAAACAGTCTCAGGTTGATCGAAAGATACTACCTTGCTTTTTATCTCTTTTCTTTTTCCTAATATCATCGACAAATTTAATCTCTAAGTCAATAATTTCAACCTACTCTTATTTATTTTACAAAATGAAATCCCTCAAAATATTCATTACGTATGATTAGTAATTAAAATAGGAACTATAGAAGAACCTTTAAGTCGTCCTATATAACACTTTCCTTCCTCTTTCTCCCCTAACTCTTTTCGCTTACTATTCATTCGTTTACGTGTGCATATCCATATCTCTTTCTCTCCCCTCTTTTCGTACCTCGCGTGATCACCTTACACGCACGCGCACGCGCACAAACACACACACACACACACACATTCTTTCTCTGTTTTTATATCCGTTCTATCTCTCTCATTTTTGCGTCGCACGAGATGTTATACGTGGCGTACGGCCAGAATGCGCGCGCATCCATTCTCAACGTGTACGCACGACTCACTACGCGTGTTTTTCGTTCACGAAACTTCCTACACACACACACACACACACAGAACCAATAATATTTTTTAGCGAGGACATGCTACAATAAAAACATACTGTTTATCCTTTATTTACTTATACAACATTTTTAGAGAATAGATTTATATTTATTTTTTTTATGTATATCTATAAGTATCTATAATTTGCCTATGTATTTGCTTACGTAGTTGCTTGCTATATATATTATAGAAGTATAATATATTTATACTTGATATAAAAATATAAAGAGAGAGAGAGAGAGAGAGAGAGAGAGAGAAAAAGAAAAAGAAAAAAAAAAAAAATGATATGAACAGAATTTTGAGTAAATTTTCCGTGAGTCGCCACGCTGGAATCGTTCAGCTCAATCGTGGCTGGTAGCACGTAGGCCGAACAGCGTATATAAACGATGGTCGGATACATGTGTGGGTTTCGAATGTTCGAGAAGGTCAGTGGTTATCAACCGTTGGCGCGTTCATGATCCAGATGTATATCATTCACATAAGATGCCAAGAGTAAGGAAGAAATGTTTGTTATCGATGTTCGTTGATATATATATATCATACGAAAAACAATGAAAGTATTAAATAGATATATTATCGACAGAGAAAAGAGAGTAAGAGAGTACGAATGATCGTAGGTGATCGTGCAAAAATAAAGGAGAAAAGGTTTGCCATTTATCATTTCAGGGATGAGTCACACGGATAAGAGATGACAACGATCGAGTAGGAGTGAAAGAATTGAGGAAAACACGTGGTGGTAGCAACGGAGAGAGTCTCTTGCATCATGTTCATATAATATTGTATTATGGTTTAATACGGCGCTAAGAAGATAAGGAATAGGGAGGAGAAGAAGCAGTTAGCAAGGCAGGAAGAAAGGAAGGCAGGAGCAGGGGCAGGAGCAGGGGCAGGGGCAGGGGCGGGCAGCCGACGACTGAGAGCCACGTTGCCTATGTAATTACGTGTTCGGATTGGTAGTAGTGTAGCAGTGTATAGTGGGATAAGTATTCGGAGCGGGCGTCGACGAGGTCTCCTGATTCGCCTTTTCTAGTGGTGGGAGTGGATGGTCGGCCAGAATAGTGGTGACGGGGGTGTGGGGTGAAACGCGAGGGGTGTTAGTAAGCGCTGCGGCCATCTTGTCGAACCCAGTCGGAAACCAACTGCCGAGCAGTGAGGGACGGTGAATGAGAAGACTAGATGTGTTAGCCGAAGGATTTTTAATGCGCTTCCGAGCCCTATTACCGCTACGTGCGAGAGGCTGTGCGATAGCGACGACGGAGCGACTATCATCGCGGGATTTTCACGTTCGGAAAGCCCCGTTACATCCGATTAAAAACCTTCTGAGGATTGGTCAAGGGGTGTAGCAGCAGCAGCAGCGGCAGCAGCAGCGGCAGCAGCAGCAGCAGCAGCAGCAGCAGCAGAAAATAGAGCGTTTCGGTTTTGAACAAGTTTTCGGCGAAAAAGGGTTATACTTTGTAAGGTAACACCTTCTCGTCGTCAACAACGAAAAACTAAAGAGAGGAAGGGAGAGAGAGAGAGAGAGAGAAAGAAAAAGAGAGAGAAGCTTAGCTTGCTTAATCGTTGATCATTTGATTTAGAGAAGAGACAAAAGAGAAGTCAAAGTCTGTGATAGTATTTATTCAAAGGATTTCGAATATACATTTATCAACAGCGACAGCGACAGCAACAGCGACAGCGACAGCAACAGCGACAGCGACAGCATAAAATCCATCGGTCGACGGTATATAAATTGCGCGCGCGTCGAATCCAAGCGAAGGATTTAGTAGATAGGCTTTATATATTTATTTATATCTGTGATATCTACACTGATATACAACTCGATCTGTTAACTCTAACGACGTATCCTTCTTTGATGAAGACAAGTGGGAAAGGATATCATAGATATCGTAAGACGTCGCGTGTTAACACGCACGAAGAAAAAGAAGAAGAAGAAGAAGAGATTTTCACACGATATTTCATTTAGGGGATCGTCGTAGGGAGGAAAAAGAGAGATTATATCAGTATCTTAGCAGATAGGCGTTTTTGTATATACGACTGACTCTTTTTTACGATTATTAATATTGGTGCGAAATCGCCAAAAGAGAGAAAGAGAAGCAGAAAGAAGTAGAAGTAGTAGAAATAGTAGAAGAAAAAAAAGAAGAGGAAGCAGAGGAAGAAAAGGAGGAGACAAAAGTGAGAAATCGAGTTTTGCTTGCGCTGTGATCGAAAGTACACGTACGTGAGCGAAAATGGTGGAGAGAATTGTCGAAGAACGCAGAAGCAGCTTTCAAGGGAATCGACAAGGTAAGAATACCAAAATCAATTTATATGAATTTCTTCTGAAGAAGCACTATCACCAATGTGTATGTACATTTAGTTTAAATCTCATACAAAAACCATTTTTTTTTTCACTCACCAAACTGTTGCAAATTGTTATTATTTGATAAATGACGTTTTCATTTTTTTTATTTACCATAAAGTATCAAATTTAAAGATACAAATTTCTGTTGGTATCGACATTATTATTTGTTGTTTCTTTCTTATATTCATGATAGATCTTCCTCGAATGATGTAATGATCGATTCATCGAATTATACTAACATATTTACCATCTACGACGAATTGCATCATATCGAAAAAACGTGCAGAACAATTATTGATATTGAATTTCGATGAAAATAATCAAGAGAAAGAGAGAGGGGGAGAGAGGGGGAGAGAGAGAGAATACCGGCAAAAAGTAAGAATCGAGGACGTGTGTTAGCACTCAAGGAACTTTCTCGATGCCGGTACCGGTTATAAACTGCTGCAGTAGTTGTGTTGTTGTTGTTCAGTCTCTTGCTTCGCATATACCACTTATCCTTCGAATTTTCTTCAAACTAGCTCTGATTAATTACCATTGATAAATTATTAAATAACTTCAATAATATCAATTAAACCATTCATTTGTTCAAATTCTAATACCATATTGATTAATATTTAACTTAAATTTCAAATAAATAATGAAACTTAATAACATTAGCAAGTAAAAGCAAATTTGGATACCCATTTGAATAGAAATGAATATCGTCCTGCCTGTATAATATTTAGCTATGTAGAATATTTAAAGGATTCATTCAGAAATCGTTCTCTCTCTCTCTCTCTCTCTCTCTCTCTCTCTCTCTCTCTCTCTCTCTCTCTCGTCTCATCGTATATTTTTGCCATTATGTGATAGAGAAATTATTTTCGAGTAACGAAGTGGGTTAGTCGGTATGTTCGAATTCAACGACGCAAATCCTGAAGGGCGTCGGTAGGGCAAACCCAAACAAAGAAGAAAGGGAGAAAGGACCCTCGCGCATGTTCCGCTTTCGCTCTCCCTCCTATTCCTCCCCTTTTACTCCTGTTAAAGAGAAACAACCATTTGGAAGGACGCGAAGGGTTGCTTTTGCGTTTCGTTTCAACGACAAATGAAATAACTCCGATTGATCTATTTTCTATTTCTGTTTCTTTTTTCTAATTCAATATTTATAACTCGCTTATCTTATTTTGACAAATATATACGATGACATAGTGCGAACATTTTTCTACTCACACAAGAATAAAGACTGGGAAAGAGACTGCGAGACTAATAAAATTGTCATTATGATCCTATTTCTACTAGAAAGTTGGCAAGACGTAATAGAGAGCTTTAACATGAATTTTATTTTCTCGTGCAAGAATAATACATTTTAAAGGATATTTTTTAGGAATTTGTCGGCAAAACTTAAAATTTGTAGTTCAAAACTACAAGTAGTTTAAAGATTTACCCAAGAAATATTGTATTTTGGAAAATTTTCAATCAAACTTTTCGATAACAATAAGCATATTTTATAAGGATTCCGAACAATGAATGAATCTCGTGTTCTCGTTATTATTATGACTATATTATTATTACTATCATCACATGTAAGATTTTCAAAGGATAACACGAGTGTGAGTCACGGTTATTCGATCGTGGAATATAATTTTAAAGCGAACAAAGGAAACCATCAGAGAGAGAGAGAGAGAGAGAGAACGAATTTGATAAAATCGATGTGTTGTTTCGTTTAAACAAAATAATTTAAAAGTAGGATTTTTTATTTCAAAAAGCATAACTGTTGGTTTTTATTTGGATTATTGATTTAAATGTCGGTCGAGTGAACCACCGACAGAGTAGTAATGGTAGAACCAACCCAAAACTTCCCTTCCACTTAAATAACTTTGATATTATTCGTCGAACGTGTATAGTGATCGCTCTACTCGATTACGTAATTCCCTTTCATGTGGAGGGGATAAGGGTGGACGTTAGGGCGATTTAAAGGCAAGAAAGCCGAGCGCGCGAGCTCGCCCGTTATCCTGCGCGTCAGTGATACTCAACTTGTAATCATTTTTTCTTTCCTTTTATTTATATATAACAACGTAGTAAAGGATGACTCCTCCATTCGATATAAAAGTGATCAAGCGTATCTCATTATTTTGTAGGATGGTAATAATTAGATATTTCTATAAAGCGACAGAATGCTAACACAGTGTAAGGTACACCATCTCTCTTTCTCTCTCTCTCTCTCTCTCTCTCTCTGAACCGAATAAGAGAGAAAGAGTGATGGCAAGCAGCGTTCCTTTCTGTGCCAGTCATTGAACTTTGGCTCCGCTCCGGTCATTGTACGACGACTATGACGACGACTATGACGGCGATTATGACGATGATTACGGCAACGCTCTCAAAAATACATTTTCTATCAATTAAATGTTAAAAATATGTTACGTGCAAGTTTCTTTTCTCTTTTTATGAACTTCATCGATTTCCTTGAGTCTCGTTAATAGTAGTCATGTCTGCTTATTAAAGGCTCTCAACTTTGCATATCTTCGTAGCTCTTTTCCAGATACCTGCACAAAATTAATAGGATTATGGTATTTATTTATTTATCTATTTATTCGTTTATGTATAACTTTATTATGATTTGCTTTTAATTTGATTTGTTTTTAATTTACAAATGTAGAACATAATTCGATAGTAATAAATTGCTTCGATCTAACTTTAGTTTCAAATAGATCTGCAAGAGTCACGATTCTTTAGGAATATGTCCTTAATTATGAAATGAGAACTCAAAAGAGATAAGTTTCTTTTTTATTATTTTTACATAGGAACAGAACGATCGAGTTTCGAACCGACATAAATTCAGCAGCAGCAGCAGCAGCAGATATTTTGCTGAACAACGAATTCTATTTCTCTCTCGAAAACGTCCGCTTTTCGGGTAAAGGGAGATGGTCGGGTAGAGGGTCGGGTAGAGGGTCGAGTAGAGCGAGCAAAACATTCGGGAAGTTTCAAAAAGGATAGGGGATAACAAGGTGGGGGAAATTATTTACATTTTCATTCTCCCCTCGCGTTACTTGTAGCAACTACTGGCGTGTAACTGCTATTGGAAATTGTAGCATCCCTCGTTCTGACTGACAAAACTTTTGATGGGTCCCTGTAACCGACCTTTCCTCCCCTTCCTTTTCTTTTTCTTTTTTTCTTCTTTTTTTTTTTTCTTTCTTTCTTTTAGCAATCAACCTTTCTCTTTACTTTAGTTTCTTTCATGAGAGAGTACTAGTTTTATTATTTTTTTCCTCGATCTTTTCTACGTTTCTTTTGCAAAGAAGATATAAGTTTAGGCCTAGAAAGAATAATCTCGTGACGAAGGGAAGAATTGCTGAGAGCGAGAGCGATAAGGAAATGTGAATTCTCAAGTATCATCACGTGCACGACTAATAAGTAAGTTCGCTCGATAGAGATAAACTTGGATATTAGTACTTCAACTTGGATATTATCGTCGCAGTAAATAAACGCGATATTAACGTTTTCTTCTAAATAGATCTTTCTTAGGATGATCTCATACTTGGATCTTCACACTAGATGGCATAAATCGATCCTTTCGATCCTTTCGATCCTTTCAAATCTCTACCACACTTACATTTTTGCAAATTGCTTTCTGCTTTTTGCAAAATAACAAATTAATTAAAATTTAAATGACCATCCTTTTTTATATTTTGTTTGTTTTTTATTATTGTTTTAGGTGATGGAACTTGCAGAGACGTTGCTACGACGGGAGAATCAATGAGTGCTGTGCAAGCTCGTCAGGAAGAGGCAAGACGCAAAAGACGCAGGAAGAAACGTTCTGGATCCTCATTAGTTTCTACTTGTTTTCAAGGTATTCAAATTGTTTTCAAGGCAATCCAAAATCCAACAATATAGAAAAAAAAAAAAAAAATACTAAATTTTATTATATACACAACGTTCCATTCTATGACCTCCTTTCTTCACAAAATCGAAATGTTCGAGAAACTTACACAAGCTTCTAATTTGATAATCGATCGGTTACATAACTATATATGCTAATCGATCTACACACATAAGTATATATTTATTATACATGTACACTTAGGTCACTGTTCTCTGTTTGTAAATAATTGAAAAAAAAAAAAAAAAGAAGACATGTAAAATTACAAATATAGTTAGAAATCGGAAAATAATAAATAAATATATTTATAATATAATCAAATAAATTAGAAACATTACACTTGGTAACTATTGATTAGATTAGATGGACAATTAATTGCACAAGTACTTTTTTTGTTAACTCTTACATTGTATTTCTAACATGCAATAATTATTATCTTTCGTTGAGTTGTCCAGAAAATTTGTGCCGATTTAAGGATGGAACTGAAAACAAAATTGTTTCTATTTTAGGATAAAATATTTTCGACCCATCCACGTATTATTTTCTCCAAACAAATCCGAATAACTTTCTAATCAAATTATATTTCGCTGTAAGACGAAGAAGTTTTCTACAAGAGGGAACGAATGAACGAACGAACGAACGAACGAACGAAAGAACACTGACCGAGTTTGCCACCTTGCTAAGCTAGGTCATATTGCGTCATCTCCGATCGATTTGCGATCCCATAAGCTAAAACTTTCCATCGCGTGGAGAGGAGAAGCACTCAAAACAACCCTTTAGGTCACTCACAAGTATCCATATAGAAATCATTGTGAAAAGAAACATATATAAATAGCATTTATACGCGTTTAATGCATTTGTTCATATTTTTGAATAGTTTTCGATCGTTATCGATGCATCGTATCCATTCTCATATGTGTATATGTCTCTTGTTATTATTCGTTTTACTTCTCCCTCCATTAAAGGAGGAGGGGAGGAAGGATTAAAAGTATGTTGTAACTGGTTTTGACGATCTACGTAGAACGTGAAAGCACATTATCGGCTTCTGGTTGCTAGGTGCCTACGGTGTTGCCGGATGCTCTCGTGTAATCTGCCGTGTTGTACCAAGAGGAGTGTCGGGCCGGCTGCCTTTTCAAAGTAAGAGAGAGAGAGAGAGAGAGAGAGAGAGAGAGAGAAATACGACAACGGCGTACTTGTCGTAGTTGTCACGGGGAAAAGGGTTGTGATGAGAGGGAGGGTGGGAGGGAGGATTGGAAGGTGGCAAAAGAGATGAGGGGAGAAAGCGGCTTTGTCGGATTTAGTTAGAGAACGTTGGTGGGGATGAACGATGAGGAGTTACGGGAAGCAGAATGGTGGTAGGCCGATAGCTCGTTAGAGAAGGAAGGAGACGAATGCTATATACCGCGTATACGATGATCGTGCAACGTTGCCATGATGATACGTTGTTTGCGAACCAACCCCTTTTGACCTTGACATTGGCTTCTTATACGCAGGACATACATCGATTCATCATATCGTACTATACATCGACTCTTCTCTTCGCGTAAACCACCACCATCACCACCACCACCACAATCATGTTTTCTCAAACTCTAATAAATCGATGTTAAATAATTAATCCTATTTAATACGATTCACTTTACGAGATAAATCCGCGAGGGTGTAACGCAGCTGCAATGCAATACTTTGCTTCCACTTGTTTAGATCGATTTCAATGGTTTATGATGTTTAGGTTTTGATGATAGGATTGACGCATCACACGTGCGGTGAATTGGTTAATTGGTAGAAAGAAAGAATGAAAGAAAGAAAGAAAGAAAGAAAGAAAGAAAGAAAGAAAGAGTATAGATCGGAGTTGGAATGATAATCTCTTGGGTAATGTTCGGTAGGTAGATAAATAAGGAAGGAGAAATTGTTCGATTGAGTGTATTCTTGTGTTGTAGTCTTGTGTGTATTCCATTTACTCTTCATATTTATTAATTGATTTGATTAATAATTTGAAAGTATTTGATCGTGTTTCAGATCTGTACAGGTTGACAGGAGAAGTTCTTGGAGAAGGAGCCTATGCATCGGTACAATCGTGTACGTCCTTGTACACAGATTTGGAATATGCCGTAAAGATCATCGATAAGATTCCTGGACATGCGCGTGCTAGAGTTTTCAAGGAAGTCGAGACATTCCACCATTGCCAGGGGCATCCTAATATTATACAGTTGATCGAGTTTTTCGAAGACGAAGAAAAGTTCTATCTTGTTTTTGAAAAAATCAATGGTGGTCAACTATTGAATAGGATTCAAGAGAGGGTGCATTTCAGCGAGAGAGAAGCAAGTTACATCGTCAGAGAGATTGCTAGTGCATTAGATTTCCTTCACAGCAAGGGTAAGATTTTGATATTTGTATGAACAATGAATGTTTCCACATCAAATCAAAACAAATCAATCGCTTTGTTTATCTATACAAATATATAATTATATTTTGTTTTGTGCTTATTCAGGAATTGCGCATAGGGATCTAAAACCTGAAAACATTTTATGCGTATATCCGGACAAATTAATACCGATTAAAGTATGCGATTTTGACTTGGGTTCTGGTATAAAGTTCAACAACTCGCTCTCCAGTCCCGTAGCAACGCCACAATTATTGACGCCCGTTGGAAGCGCAGAATTTATGGCTCCCGAAGTAGTCGAGGCTTTTATCGGCGAAAACAATTCTTACGACAAACGTTGCGACTTATGGAGTCTTGGGGTGATAATGTATATTTTATTATGTGGCTATCCACCATTCTATGGTAACTGTAATACAGATTGTGGCTGGCAGAGAGGAGAAAATTGTCAAGCTTGTCAGGAGTTATTATTTACCAGTATTCAAGAAGGAAGGTATGAATTTCCTGACAAAGAATGGAGACATATATCCGAGGACGCCAAGGATTTAATTAGAAGCTTGCTAGTAAAGGAGGCTTACCGAAGGCTCGGTGCAAAAGATATTCTTAAACATCCCTGGATTGATCCTGGGCCATTATCGGTTGATAATAGCGAACAATCTCTTATCACGCCTCATATCATTAGGTAACGTAGTATTATACTCTCAGTAATCATTATCTGTCAACACTGCTGAATTAATGAATCACGTTATAGCAGAAGAATTGAGTGCATTATTTTCTTTTTAACACGTTTTCTATTTGACATTGCATTTTTGGACATTGCAAATAACGACGAATCATTTTTCTGCTTCATATATATATATATATATATATATATATGAAATGAATGCAACGTTCATATGCAACGTAGAACTTAAGTTAAGTTAAATTAATTAATAATAAATTAGTTTAAACACTTACAATTATCTAATTACAGAAGAAATAATTCTGCTCGAGAGCTCTCAGCATTCGCTGAGTCGGCAATGGCTGTGAATCGCGTGGTACTTCAACACTTTTCCATTAACTTGGAAGAATTGACGGAGAACAGGGAACCAAGACTGTCTACGTCATCAACGGATGATGACAATCATCCTTACGGTCACATGTCCGATTCCAACAGTGAATTATCGGAGAACAGCAGCAACAAACACGCAACACATTCTTCCAGCGAATTCGACAATAGTTCGCGTCAAAAATCTGGTTCAATTAATTCCAGCATCGATTTAAATGAATCTAAAATAATCGGTAAAGATCGAATAATAGGTAAAGATTCGTTTCAAATTTTTGGTCTTTCACCTCCTAGCGAGAGTAAGTTAATGCAACGTCGTATCAAAGCACGTTCAAGTTTGATCGAATGTCAGAATAACAATCCTGTTATCGCGTCTCCAAGTGGCTGAAATTTCATGATTTTAATAAGAAGAGTAAGAAAGAAAGAAAGAAAGAAAGAAAGAAAGAAAGAAAGAAAGAGAAAGAAAGAAAGAGAGAAAGAAAGAAAGAAAGAAAGAAAGAAAGAAAGAAAGAAAGAAAGAAAGAAAGAAAGAAAGAAAGAATACCGATCTCCCCTTCTTAGAGTATAATTCGTCTTTGCTACTACTTTCCCTTTCTGGAATTGCAAAGGTGTAATATACTTTTAACAAACGGCTTAAAAAGAGTTACGATTTATTAGTGTATATATAAGTAATTCCTTCATTCGGTTTAGAATGAAATTGGCTTGTATAAACAAACAACAAAACAACAAAAACAAAATATGATTAAAAAGAACAAAACAAAATGAAAAAAAGATTATATATATATTAATTAATATTAATAATAATTATATACAATGCTATACAAAATGATGATGACGGCGATCTAAAGGAAAGAATCTACGATTAATACAAATATTTCATATTATAGTTTTTTCTTTGTATTTTGAGCGAATACGAAACACGACAATTCAGTTTATTGTTGCCCTTGTTTCTTCTTTATTACATTGTGATTTATATTTTCATTTTTTTTTTGCCCCTCTTAATAAGAATATTTTTTGTTTAATTCAAGCTGTTAACACGTCTCTCTCTCTCTCTCTCTCTCCTTGCGATAACTGTATCTTCATGAAGGCGGTATAGTAGTATCTTATTTTATGTAAGAGACAAATATTATTATATAAGATAATATTATAATTATCTAATATTAAAAATATTATTATTATATAAGATAATAGTCTTTTTACAAAAAATAAGATTTCTACGTTGGATACATTCCAACTCGTGTATTTTGCTGTGTTACAATTCACCGTTACTCATGCAATCATCCAAGTTGTAAAGTTTTGTAAAATATTATGTTCTAAATCATCGATCTTTATTAAAAAAAAATAAATAAATAAGAAATTAATAATCATATTACGAGTTGGAAGGTTTATCTCTACGTGCTGTATATGATGCATGCTTGTATATAACATCAAAGGAGAAAAACGAAAAGAAAAAGAAACAAATATAACACGCCATCACTTGTAGCATACAACAATGAACAAAATCATATACATATTTAACAAGAAAAGATTTTACACATGTTTTTTTCCTTATTTCAATTCGTTATTCTCCTTTAAAAGAAACTACTCTAATGTGAATCATCAACGATAAACAACAAAGATTATTTGGATTTGTGATGATGTGATCGATTAAATAACAGTTTCTTCTTGTGGTATCGTATAAAATTTCTTATCGGATCTGTAAGACAATGTCTTCTGGCCTTTTTTTACTAATCATTATAATAATAATGATAATACGTAAGAATGCATATGTTCTTCATGTATTTGTATAGGAATTTGTATATGATACAAAGAAAAAAAACATGCCTGCGAGAAACTAACCTTAAAACTTTTATTATTATTATGATTATTATTATTATTACTACTATTATCATTATCATTATTATCATCATCATCATCATCATCATCATCATCATCATAATCATCGACAAAATGAAAACGAGACATCGTATTCTTTAATACTTCGAATTATATAAAATCCGAATTTTTTTAGTTCTTTATTTTTTGATCGAATTTGTCGATAATAAAATAAAATAAAATAAAATAAAATAAAAGAAAAGAAAAATATAAATTGTATATATAAACATACAGGAGAGGGCAATAAAAGAAGAGATGAAGGTTTTCTTCCATTATAATAATGACTGCTGAATTTCTACATGAATTAAAGTTCAGAAAAGAAGATTTTGCCTCATTTAAATAAAGTAAAAACGGTACATAAAAAAAATACATATATGTATATATATATATATATATATATATATATATATATTTACCGGTGCGCATCGTTGTAAATTATTGTCTTATGGTTTGTTCTCGTTTAAGGATTACTAAAAAGGCGCTATATCAGAAGTTTGTAAGAAACTAGTAGAAATAAGGTACAAGAAAAGAATTGGAGAGAGTGAGAGAGCAAGAGAGCGAGAGAGTGATAACAAAGCTTAAAAAATAAAAAAGGTAACAAAAAAATACAAAGCGGGAAGGAAGATCGAACGAATGCCATTTTTATAGATGTTTTAAGTATAATTGTAGAAAAAAAAAACAATCCTAGTTTGTAAGAGACGGAATCACTTTCAGTAATTAAAAGAAGAAAACATGAAAAAAAAAAAAAAAAATTAAAAATTACAATAAAATAAATAAATAAAATAGGAAAAGAAAAAAAAAGAAAAAACAGAAAAACCTAACAAAAATTTGTACCTGCGTCATAAGTAAGTAAAATAATACGACGTAACACTGATGCCAAATCCCAAAAAGAACATTTGGTTTTTTAGAACTTTTAACCCGTGGAATATGTTTAGTGGACTCTGTAGCATCTTCATCGACCATATATTATGGATAAATGCTTATGCATATCTGTAAATGATAAATAATTAAAAAATGAGTGTCGAGCGCATCGCATTTATAACTCGCTTCGCCACGAAAATTACGGTCTCTTTAAATGTGTATAGTGCAATTCATAATTGTACAATTTCAACAAATAAATATGGAATTTTATCTTCGCTTGACAGTAAGTACATATTTCACAATAAATCTCTTCAAAGGAGTAAATAATTAAAATAATTAAAACAAATCTTTATATCGTTAGTCCCAAGAAAATGAACTATGTTCATCACTTATCACTTGTTAAAAGATTCTGGTATAGAAAAGGCACGGAGTACACGTTCTATGAACCTTCCTCTTCGACTCAGTTATTTATATGACTGCCTAAAAAGTTGCACATGTGCATAACGAAAATTATTCACCTAATTAATATAATAGAATATAATATTATTACGCTCTTATTTTATCATTTGTATTTTTATTAAGTAATTACTTTAACGATTCAGTGTACATTGTGTATATTGTATCAAAGACACATTCCCTTTGACTGTGACTGATGTCGACTAAACCTGCAAAAAGGTTCCAAGATCTCTCCTGAGTATACACGTTGACTGTTTATAAATGTCACTATGAACATACAACATAATACACTACCTTCATAAGGTAGAGTATTTCTGAAAAGTTCGTAGGGAAGGAGTTGATAACTGATTCATACAATAGGGGAGGTAAACTGGAAGTGTCTACTCATTACTATAAAGAACGATAAAAAGAATCCAACAATACTGCAACAATGAAAGATTTTTGAATGTACTGTTTTTAAAATACTTACATTTGGAAGAAACCATATACCATAATATTCTAACAGGAGATAAGCAGAAGAAATACATCCTAGTTATCACAAATTAAGAAAACAAAAGGCAAATACATCCTATTAGGACACACTATTCTTGTACAAAATCTTTTACCAGGTTTTCTAAACGATGATGGAAGATATTATTGTTCATCGACTGCCAAGAAAAATTTATGTATTTATATAAATTAATATCTTCTTTGCAAGGAATTCCATGTGAAATATTATGGGAATAGAATGCAGCTGCACTTATTAAGAATTATCTAGACAATAATATGTTAAGAGGTAAATATAATCATTTAGTGTGAAGAAGAAGTAAATATTATAATCTATTAAAATCCACTTACTTTTATTATATAAAAATTGATTGAGGAGTTGCATTTATTTTTAATCAATTAATAAAAACATATTGTGTGTGTGGGTAATCTGTATTTTATTACCGACTGGTAAAATGTGTATCGCCATTTATCGGTACTAGATATTACTTCACTGTACCGACTAGTAAATTTAGGCTGCCATCTAGCGGAAGTAAATGTTACTATATCTTACCGATTAGTAGAATATGTTTCGCCATCTAGACAAAAGATAAAACATCACTAGGATAAAATCAAGATGGCTACCTGTCAATATACTTTGAATACCATAAACACAGGCTATGTGCAGTGTAAAGTATTTAATTAAAAAAATCCTTTTAGTGATGCAATAATCAAGTGAATAATATTTTTTATTTATAATAATTCGTTTCATATTCTTTATTAAGTGATCGCCAATTCTGGATGAAAATAGTTAAATTGGATGTATTGCTGTAGGACAGTGTTATGTCATAACCTAAGAAAAATAATTTTCTTAATTAAATCCGAGAATGCAGATGAATTCCAGACGTTCTTTTTATCAAATTATTATAACAAATACTAGTAAGTAAAGTATATATTTTGTTTTTTAACTTTATGCATTATCTAAACATTTTCTCCCTTTTCTAACTTATTTTGGTACATAAATAAAGTACTTCTTTTTAAATATTTTTAGATCAGCATGCAGATCTATATTTTTAATTCCAATCCAAGAACGTTATACCCAAAAGAAGAGGAGTCCGTTACACCATTGGATCAATGGAT